TGTAATCCCAGCATTTTGGAAGGCCAAGGCAGGCCGATCACGAGGTCAGAAGATTGAGAACATCCTGGACAACATGGTGAAACCCCATCTCTACTAAAATACAAAAAATTAGCTGAGTGTGGTGGTACGCACCTGTAGTCCCAGCTACTCGGGAGGCTGAGGCAGGGGAATTGCTTGAACCCAGGAGGTAGAGATTGCAGTGAGCTGAAATCGCGCCACTGCAGTCTAGCCTGATGACTGAGCGAGACTCTGTCTCAAAACAAAAACAAAAACTAGCCAAGCATGGCGGCACACTCAGGAGGCCGAAGTAGGGGGATTGTTTTGAATCCAGGAGGTAGAGGCTGCAGTGAACCGTGATCATGCCACTGTACTCCAGCCTGGGTGACAGAGTGAGAACTTGTCTCAAAAAAAAAAAGAAAACAATAATCAAGTAATGCAGAGTTTAACCCAAATAACCTATAATTAAAAAATTCAACTAAGTTTCCCTACTTACTCAAAATTTCTTGAGAAAAGAAACAAGATAACAAAGAAAGAAACAAGGACTCTTTGCTGTCTGCTAGGGATTTTTCAGTGAAGCTCCTTCCCGGCAAATAACACCCACTCACTCACTTAAGAAATGTTCATCATAAAGCAGAGGTGGGAAGAAATCAGCCCTCGGGTGTTTGGGCTGCACTATAGCTGCTGATCAACTGCCTTTAGTGACTCAAGCCAAGTTATAAACAAAGGGTGAACCTCAATGTCTGTGCAGGACTCAACTTGATAGGAAATCAAGGGAATTCAAAAACAATCATCCAACATTACATGGTTTGGTCCTTTGTTTTTCAGAAAGCTGTAATTTTTCACAATCTTTGCCTGGAACTTTTTGTTATTGGCTATATCCCTTCCTGTGGATTCTTTTAAAAGTATCTTATCATGTCACCCTGAGGGTCAGTTTGTTCCAGAAGAACAATAGAAAGAATGCTAGACCTCATCAGCATGCCTGGATTCCAGTTAGGCTCCACTAATTAGGAAAGTGATCTTTGGGTTAGTGATGAAACACTTTTCTGAGTCTTAGTGTCTTTATCTCTCACTACTTCAGTCAAGGTCAAATAAATGTTCAGCCTTTGCTCATAAGACATTACCCCAGAGGTCCTTCTTTGGTCACCTCTTCTAAAAAAGCAGGGGCCTCTCCATTCTCTTACCCTGAACTACTTTTCTTCAAATCATTTATCATTAAAGAAAATTACATTATATGTAATTTTTGAATATGTAATTAATGAATGCAAAAATGGCCACTGAACATTCTAAAATGCTATATGATATGGTTTGGCTTGGTGTCCCCAGTCAAATCTCATGTTGAATTATCCTCTTCAGTGTTGGAGGAGTCTAGTGGGAGGTGAATGGATTACAAATTTCTTTTTTCTTTTCTTTTTTTTTTTTTTAGATTGAGTCTCACTCTGTCATCCAGGCTGCAGTGGCATAATCTTGGCTGACTGCAACCTCTGCCTCCCAGGTTCAAATGATTCTCCTGCCTCAGTCTCCTAAGTAGCTGGGATTATAGGCACAAGCCACCATGCTTGGCTAATTTTTGTATTTTTAGTAGAGATGGGGTTTCACCATGTTGGCCAGGCTGGTCTCGAACTCCTGAGCTCAGGTGATCCACCCGCCTCAGCCTCCTAAATTGCTGGGATTACAGGCGTGAGCCACCATGTCCAGCCGAGCCTCCTTGTTCTTGTATCACACCAAACATGCTCCCACCTCAGAGCCTTTGCAATTTGCTATTCCCTCTGCCTGGGGCGTACCCTCCCATTTTCACATGCCTGACTCCTCACTTTGTTCAGCCTTTGCCCATATGACATTACCCCAGAGGTCCTTCTTTGGTCACCTCTTCTAAAAAAGCACTGGCCTCTCCATTCTCTTACCTTGAACTACTTTTCTTCAAATCATTTATCATTAAAGAAAATTACATTATATGTTTATTATATTTAGCAGTTGTCTCCTCCACTAGAAGGCAATCTTCATAAGTAAAGGGATTTGGTTGATTTTGTTCACTGCAGTATCTGCATCATATAAAATAGTTCCTGGCATAGGTCCTCAGTAAATATTTGAAGAATGAATCACAAATGAAGAGCTCTATAGATTGGACGTCCATAGTTTTTGCACAGCCTTAGCTTCTCTGCAAATATTAAGAGTCGAGTAGCCCCATGCACACCAGGGTTCCAGAGGTTGGGAGACTCCTGGGTGAGTGCAAAGTGGAGCAAGTGGAGAAGAGGCTGCAAGGACTATGAAGGCTGCTTGCAAGCTAGTATGTTAGTCTGTCATTGTTTCATGGATGCTGGCAATAGTCATGACACTCCTTGGTCAGAGCACAGCAAATAGCATGTGTCAGCATGTTTACATTGGTTTCCCTTGCCCTCAAGTTCTAAGGTGGCAACACAGTGAGCCCAGATGACACATGGATCTGCAGTGGTTTGCATTACAGGAGAGGAACCGTGGGCCAAGGGCTCAGCACGTTTGGAGCAAGCAGCAAACAAGCCAATCCCCACTCCCTCTAGGGAGCAAGTAGTTACAGGTACTTACAATAGTTGCCTTGGCCACACAGTAACACAGTAGTTAGTTAGTTATCTGTGTGAATAGCTATAGACATTGCTCAGTATCAGGACCTTGGGAGTCTTGTGGGTTGGGATACTCAGCAAGAGAGTGCAGGCATGTTCAGGGCCAATGGTGGGATCTCTCGCAGCACAGGGCAGCTGAGTTATCAGCAAAGGATGACACTGAATGTTGCCAGTTTAACGCATACTCACTAGACTTCAAATCCTAGCTAAGAGAAGCATTTAGTACACAGATACAATATTCAGCCTTCTGAAGGTATCATTCAGCACACAGTTTTGAATGATCAAATGGGGGAGAAGTGTGGAAAGTAAAGAGCCTGGCCTAGCACTGTGGTTCATGCTTGTAATCTCAGCAATCTGGGAGGCCGAGGTGGGAGGAACACTTGAGTCCAGAAGTTTGAGGCCAGCCTGGGCAACGTAGTAAGATCCCATCTATATAAAAAATACAAAAATTAGCCAGGTGTGTTGGTGTATGTCTGTAGTCCCAGCTACTCAGGAGGCTGAGGTGGGAGGATTGCTTGAGCCTGAGAGGTTGAGGCTGCAGTGAGCTATGATGGCACCACTGTGACTCCAGGTTGGGGGAAAGAGAGAGAGAAAGGAAGGAAGGAAAGAAGGAAGGTGGGAGGGAGGGAAGGGAGGGAAGGCCGGACACAGTGGCTCACGCCTGTAATCCCAGCACTCTGGGAGGCCAAGGTGGGTGGATCATGAAGTCAGGAGTTCAAGACCAGTCTGGCCAAGATGGTGAAACCCCAACTCTACTAAAAATTACAAACAAAATTAGTCGGGCACAATAGCATGTGCCTGTAATCCCAGCTACTCAGGAAGCTCAGGCAGGAGAACTGCTTGAACCCAGGAGGTGGTGGTTGCAGTAAGCCAAGATCGTGCCACGGCACTCCAGGCTGGGTAACAGAGTGAGACTCTGTCTCAAAAAAAAAAAAATTAGAAAAAGATAAATAAATAAAATATTTTAAAAAAGGAAGGAAGGAAGAAAGGGAAAGAGAGAAAGCATGAAAGAAAGAGAGAGAAGAAAGAGCTTCATAGAGGTTGCTTGTCTTAGTAAAAAATGTATTATATGGCATAGTTGTGTGGCAAAGCTTACGATAACTCTAGGGCTTTGCATCAGTCACGAATAGCTACCAAGGGAAAACTGAGATGTCCTCAACTGTGGCCTTGCCCCTGCAGCCTTTCGGCATGGTGGAATGCCCAGTCCTGGGATAGAAGGCTTGGTTTCTGTCTAGCTCTACTATTGTTCTAGAACTTCGAGGCAATCCTTTAACTTTACTGGACATAATTATCACTCGATTAGGATAAGTCTGGCGGCAGTTGCCTATGTGTGATTTATTATTCCTTTTAGGACTTCTTGGTTCACATGACATGATTCTGCCTGATAAAAATAGTGCTGAAAAGAAAAAAGAAAAAAAAAGTAGTGCTGAAGTCATTGTGTGTATAGCAGGTTTAGAGAAAGGTAAATTTTTTGCAAGGTGGGATCTCTCTTTTGAGTTTCCCTTTATTTTTCAGAATGAATTTTTTTTTGAGACAGAATCTCGTTCTGTCACCTAGGCTGGAGTGCAGTGGCGCGATCTCGGCTCTGCAACCTCCGCCTCCTGGGTTCTTGCAATTCTCCTGCCTCAGCCTCCCGAGTAGCCGGGACTACAGGCGCACACCACCACACCCGGATTTTTTTTTTTTTTTTTCTAGTAGAAACGGGGTTTCACTGTGTTGCCCAGGCTGATCTCGAACTCCTGAGCTCAGGCAATCCGCCCACCTCGGCCTCCCAAAGTTCTGGGATTACAGGCGTGAGCCACCACGCCCAGCCCAGAATGAATTTTTAAAACTCCACAATCTTCTACACTGCTCCACCCTCCATCCTTAGCCCATGAGGTGCTTTCAGGCTTCGTTCCCCTTGGGGACAGATTTATCTCTGAGGACTCGATTAGTAGGATTTGTAAAAGAGAGATAATATTTGTTCTACTGACTTAATGTTTTAGATTAAGAATCACATGAAATTTAATTAAAAAAAAATTAGAACTGTAACTACCTTTAGACACCATCTAGACCCAACATGCATTTTACAGATAATGAAACTACAACCCAACCAGCATGGTGGTACACACCTGTAGTCCCAGCTACTCAAGAGGCTGAGATGGGAGGATTGCTGAGCCCAGGAATTTGAGGCTACAGTGAGCTATAATTGTGGCACTGCATGCCAGCCTGGGCAACAGAGTGAGACTCATTTGAAAAGAAAAGAAAGAAAAAGAAAAGAAGAAAAAAATAAACTGAGGCCCAGAGAGGTATCAAAGGCTTAAGGACGTGAAAGTGGCTGAGCAGGTCTAGAGCACAGACTTGGCACTTTTCTCTGTATACTTTATTGCCTCACATTATATGGAAAGCACTTGAAAACTATATAGCATCTTGGCTGGGTGCGGTGGCTCATGCCTGTAATCCCAGCACTTTGAGAGGCTGAGGCAGGTGGATCACTTGAGGTCAGGAGTTTGAGACCAGCCTGGCCAACATGATGAAACTCCATCTCTACTAAAAATACAAAAATTAGCCATAGTGGTAGGCACCTGTAATCTCAACTACTTGGGAGGCTGAGGCAGGAGAATCACTTGAGCCCAGGAGGCAGAGGTTGCAGTGGGCCGAGATTGTGCTACTGTACTCCAGCCTGGGTGACAGAGCAAGACTCTCTCAAAAAAAAAGAAAAGAAAAAAATGTATATATTCTTAATGCAGGTCTTTCTTTCTTTCTTTCCTCCCCTCCTTCCCTTTTTCCTTCCTACCTTCCTTCTTTTTTCTCTCTCTCTCTTTCTTTTTTTGAGACAGGATCTCACTCCATTGCCCAAGCTGGAGTGCACTGCTGTGACTGTAGCTCACTACCACCTCCATCTGCTGGGCTCTGATCAAGTCTCCCACCTCAATCTCCTCAGTAGATGGGACTACAGGTGCATACCACCAAGCCTGTCTAGTTTTTAATTTTTTTGTAGAGTCAAGGTCTCACCTGTTGTCCAGGCTGGGCTCAAGCAATCCACCTGTCTCGGCCTCCCAAAGTGCTGGGATTGCAGACATTGGCCACAGTGCCCAGCTAGCTTTTTTTACTGTAAGCAGGAGAGACATTCCTAGGAGGCAATTTATTATAAAGATACAGGGATAGGAAGCAATCAGGCCTCTGGAGGAACCAGAACTAGGAACTAGAAAGGTATCAAGAATCATGACAGCCACTTAGTCCGTGCCGTCTCCATCTCTCTCTGGAACCATGTGGTTTCTCATTTGTTCACTTTCCTTCTATTTCTGTAGCTTTCTCTGCCTCTCTGTGCTCTTAATGATAAAAGGCCACAGATATATTTTAAGTTTCATGACATTTTGGTTCAAGCACCTAATAGAAACATACTAGATCTTAGTCCAAATGTCCAGAAGAAAGAAGCTTATTGGTTCGTCTTGAGTCAAGTGTTCACCCACATCCAGTCCAGTTAGCCACAGCCAAGGCAGATAGTTCACATAGTATAAACTTGACTACAGGGCTGCACTCAGGGTTAGCCAAACTGTGAGGCTGGAGGAACAGTTCTTACAAGACTACCCCTACTTCTGAAACCAAATATAAGTTTGGGGGTTTCCTGAAACCATCCCAGGTTTGATAATTATCTAGAAAAACTCACAGAAGTCACTGAAAACTGTTATACTCACAGTTACCGTTTATTATAGACAAAGGATGGAAATTAAAATCAGCCAAAGGAAGAAACACAGAGTCCAGGAGAGGTTCAAGTGTAGTACTTGGATATCTTCTGCCTGTGGAGTCACGGACAATGTTATCTCCTCCTGGTCGCGATGTGTGACAATACACACATTATTACCAACTGGAGCCTGAACCTGAAGTCTGCAAAGTTTCTGCTGGGGCTCGATCACACACTGCTGTTATGGCTGATCTTGAGTATACTCCTCTCCCAGAGGTCATGCTAGTACCTCTAGCCTCCAGGTCCTCCAGAGGTCAGAACTGAAACAGCATGGCCTGGCGCCTAACTCACACTGTTAGACTGCCCAGTGGCCAGAACGCCAAGCAAACAGACACTCCTATCAGGCAGGACATTTCTGGGGCCTGGAGGTCACCTCCGCTCTAGCCGACGGCAAAGGCCAGGCCTTTATTTATTTATTTATTTTTTGAGAAAGAATCTTCTTCTGTCGCCCAGGCTGGAGTGCAGTGACTCCATCTCAGCTCACTCCAACCTCTGTCTCCCGGGTTCAGGCAGTTCTCTGCCTCAGCCTCCCGAGTAGCTGGGAGTACAGACGTCCGCCGCCAAGCCTGGCTCATGTTTTTGTATTTTTAGTAGAGACGGGGTTTCACCATGTTGGTCAGGCTGGTCTCAAACTCATGACCTCATGATCCACTTGCCTCAGCTTCCCAAAGTGCTAGGATTACAGGCGTGAGTCATTGCACCTGGCCGGCCAGCCAGGCCTTTCTTTTGGTTAATATTTTTGTGCCAGAGTCTTGCTTTGTCACCCAGGCTGGAGTGCAGTGGTGTGATCTTGGCTCACTGAAACCTCTGCCTCCTGGGTTCAAATGATTCTCCTGCCTCAGCCTCCCAAGTAGCTGGGAGGCAATGTGCCACCACGCCCAGCGAATTTTTTTTTTTGTATTTTTAGTAGAGCAGGTTTCTCCATGTTTGTCAAGCTGATCTTGAACTCCTGACCTCAAGTGAGCTGCCTGCCTCCCAAAGTGCTGGGATTACAGGCATGAGCCATATCACCTGGCCAGGGTTAAGTTAGTTCTTCATTATACAGACCCACTTCCATTTTTGCAGAAGGGGAAATGTTCTCAAGAAGTAGGACATTTCAGGGAAATATAAGTCTATTCCATTGTATGTTAGATAAGTAAATAATTCCAGCTTCTGTAATAAATAAACCCTGAGATTCCACTAGTTTAACACAATAAAAGTTTATTTCTCTTGTTCACAGTCCAATGTGGGTTGCTAGAAGGGTAGGGGGAGATGAAGGAAGAGAGAGGGAAAGAAGTGAGCAGGGAGAGAGGATGGTGGGAGATGGAGGCAGATGGGGATGGTGGGAGAAGGAGGCAGCATCAGGGAAGGGGTCTTGCTCCATATGATCACTCAAGGACAAAGGCCTTTTCCATCTTGTGGTTCCACCCTTTTCTTTGTCCCTTTCTTTGTCCTCTCCATTCAGCAAGAGAAGGGATGGCCAAAGAGTGAGGATTGTGCTTGAGAGGTTTTTATGGACCCAGAAGTAGTGCCCACCACTCCTGCTCACATTCCACGGGCCAGAACAGTCACATGGTCACACCTAACTGCACTGGAGGCTGGAAGAGGGACTCTGGCTGTAGGCCAGAAAGAAGAAAAGAACACAATCACTGGTGAGCACCGACAGTCTTCACCACATATAAACTGATCGTGTGACACCAACATTAACTACGTCAGAATTTATTTTTCTTTCTTTGGAATCCCTTCAGCAATGACATACCCCCTATATCATAATTTTATCACATTAAATTGTCTATTGCCTTAGAGTTATGTCTTCTGCCTCCATTTTTACATCATAAGCAGGGATCATTCTTCAGCTGCTTTGGTTTTTACCATGATGCAGGCTGTAAGGTAGGCACTATAGGTAAATTTAAAAATCATGCTGAATTATTTCAGTAAAGACCAGGAAGATGGAAGTTGCAAATAATTACAGTCTGGAAACAAGCTTGGTTTAGTTGCTATGGCACAAATTGATGATTTAAATATAAAGAAGGATGTTTATAATCACACACACAAAAAAACAGTAGAAAGCAAGTTAAATATCCATCAAATGTTTATAGTGGGCGGTTTAGTTGCTATGGTACCAATTAATGATTTAAATATACACAAGGATGTTTATAATCACACACAAAAAAACAGTAGAAAGCAAATTTAAATGTCCATTAAATGCATATAGTGGGTGGTGGGCGAGGAGCAGCTTTGCTCGGTGGGCGAGGAGCAGCTTTGCTCGGGGTATGATCGGTGTTGGCAGTGTAGGGGTCTAGTGGGCAGAGAAGACTCTTGGCCAGGCAGACAACTTCTCAGTAGCACAGCATGGGGACCTCCGTGCACTGGAGATCTCTGCAGCACTAGGAACAGCTGGAGGACACCAGGGAGCTGCAGACTGTGGCCATTAGGAGGCCTTCGCAGGAGTCCTGGGGTCCCTGTGCAGACAGTTCCAAAGAAGGCTGCCCCTGAGACCCATCAACCTCAACCTCCGCACAGGCCCCTCCTGGAAACACCTGGAAACCCCAGAGCCAGGGCTGCAGGGCCTCCAGGCTGCAGCTCACTCAGCTAAGAGTGCTTGGGCGCCAAGTCCCAGAGAATCCAGGAGTCCTGCGAAAGTGGTACCAAGTGGCTGGTGGAGACCCAGGTGAAGGCTAGGAGGAGGAAGAGAGGGGCACAGAAGGGCAGTGAATCCGCAAGTCACAGTCTGAGCCAGAAGAGCACCCAGCTGTCTGGAGCTGCTCCTGCCCACTCAGCCGCAGATACCTGGGAGAAGAAGCATCACCACCTCTCTGCCCGGATAGGTTCACGTGCCCACCCATTACCGCGGTCTAGGCGGGAGGCTGCCTTCTGGAACCCCTACTTCTCAACAGAGCCCCTCTGCTCTCCCAGAGAGTCTGACAGTGACCTAGAGCCTGTGGGGGCGGGAATTCAGCATCTCCAGAAGCTGTTCCAAGAACTAGATTAAGCCATTATAGCAGGAGAGTGGTGACATCATCTCTCTCATTCATGACTGAGGAAGTGCCCTGCAGGAAACAAGCCCTGTCTGACGCCAAGCCTCCATACCCAAGGATGTCTGTGCTTCCCCATGCACTTCCTGGAGGAAGCCCCCAGGAGTCGTCAGTACCCCGCGCCACTGCTAACAGGGACCTGACTAACAAGGGGCCAGAGACCCCCTGCTCTGGCCACATGTGGAGCAGAGGTGGGGAGAATTGTTTCTTCTTGTTTCACAGGGAATCTTGAGCTTAGAAACTCACCATACACTTGACCTTGAGCCTTGTATTTGCCTCATCTGTAACGTGACGTGCTAGCATCAGATGTTAGAGAGCTCTTAGCTTTTACTCAGGTGCCTGGTTTTTGGGGGAGTCATCCGCAGTCACTCACCCACTGTGTTTCCAGTGCCAAGGCTCTTGAGGGCCCCACTCTCACCCCTGCTTTCCCTACCAGGGACTCGGAGGAAGGCACAGGAGATATTTCCAGGCTGAAGACCTGGGCTCATGGGTACCTATTTATATGCTCAATGCAGAGCACTGTGGGTGTGCGGGAGGCATAGCCCTATTCAAGAGCAATTTCTGCCCTTTGTAAATTATTTAAGAAACCTGCTTTGTCATTTTGTTAGAAAGAAACCAGCATGTGACTTTCCTAGATAACACTGCTTTCTCATAATAAAGACTGTTTGCATTAAAAAAAAAAAAAAAGTGTAGTGACATGGAAAAGAACTGACAATATATTGGTAAGTGGGCCGGGTGTGGTAGCTCACACCTGTAATCCCAGCACTTTGGGAGGCTAAGGCAGGTGGATCACGAGGTCAGAAGTTCAAGACCAGCCTGGCCAATATGGTAAAACACCATCTCTACTAAAACTGCAAAAATTAGTTGGATGTGATGGCAGGCACCTGTACTCCCAACTTCTTGGGAGGCGGAGGCAGAGAACTGCTTGAACCCGGGAGGCGGAGGTTGCAGTGAGCCGAGATTGCACCACTGCACTCTAGCCTGGGCAACAAAGCGAGACCCCGTCTAAAAAAAAAAAAAAAAAAAAAAAGCAAACAAAGTAATTATCACTGCATAATGAGATATATACGTGTGTAGGTGATATGCACATTCACACACACTAGAAAAATTATTGGCTGGGCACGGTGGCTCACACCTATAATCCCAACATTTTGGGAGGCTAAGGCAGGAGAATCACTTGATTCCAGGAGTTTGAGACCAGCCTGAGCAACATAGTGAGACCTCATCTCTACAAAAACAAAAAAAAAAGAAGAAAGAAAACAGAAAAAAAAATTAGCATTGACCATCCACCTGTAGTCCCTGCTACTCAGGAGGCTGAGGACAGAGGATCATTTGAGCCTGGGATGTCAAGGTTGCAGTGAGCTGAGATGGCACCACTGCACTCCAGCCTGGAGTCAAAATCAAAAGCAAAACAAGTAATTATCGGCCAGGCACGGTGTCTCATGCCTGTAATCCCAGCACTCCAGGAGGGCAAGAAGGGTGGATCACCTGACGTCAGGGGTTCAAGACCAGTCGGATGACCACGGTGAAACCCCATCTCTACTAACAATAAAAAAATTAGCTGGGCGTGGTCGTGCATGCCTGTAGTCCCAGCTACCAGGGAGGCTGAGGCAGGAGAATTGTTTGAACCCAGAAGGCAGAGGTTGCAGTGAGCTGAGATGATGCCACTGTACTCCAGCCTGCGCAACAGAGCAAGACTCCATCTCAAACAAACAAAGTAATTACCACTTCATAATGAGATGATGGATCTTTCCTTTGATCACTCCCTCCCTCCCTCCCTCCCTTCCTTCCTCCTCTCTCTTTCTCTTTCTTTCCCAGGGTTTCACTATGTTGCCTAGGCTAGAGTGAGTTGGCTATTCACAAGCACAATCCCACTCTTGATCAGCACAAGAGTTTTGACCTGCTCTGTTTCCAATCTGTGTTCACCACTCTTAGGCAACTTGGTGGTCACCCGCTCCTGGGAGGTTACCATATTGATGGTGAACTTAGTGCAGACACCCAATAGGCATAGCATACTACAGCCTAAACTCCTAGGCGCAAATGATCCACCTGCTTCAGCCTCCTTAGTAGCTGGGACTACAGCTGAGCACCATCATGCCTGACAATTTCTCCTTTTTCTTTTTTTTTTTTGAGACGGAGTTTCACTCATGTTGCCCAGGCTGGAGTGCAATGGCGCGATCTCGGCTCACCGTAACCTCCGCCTCCTGGGTTCAGGCAATTCTCCTGCCTCAGCCTCCTGAGTAGCTGGGATTACAGGCACGCACCACCATGCCTGTATTTTTAGTAGAGGCGGGGTTTCACCATGTTGACCAGGGTGGTCTCGATCTCTTGACCTCGTGATCCACCTGCCTCGGCCTCCCAAAGTGTGGGGATTACAGGCTTCAGCCACCGCGCCCAGCCTTCCCTTTTTTTTTTAAAGATGGGGTTTCATCATGTTGGTCAGGCTGGTCTTGAACTCCTGACCTCAGGTGATCTGCCCGCCTTGGCCTCCAAAGTGCTTGGATTACAGGCATGAGCCACCACGCCCGGCCAATTTCTCCTTTTTCTTGTCTGAATTTTCCTACAATGAATCCAGATTACAAGTATAAACTTTTTTTTTTGAGACAGGGTCTTGCTTTGTTGCCCAGGCTGGAGTGCAGTGGCATCATTACAACTCACTGCAGCCTCTACCTTCTAAGCTCAAGCGATTCTCCCACCTCACTGTCCTGAGTAGCTAAGACTACAGGCGCATACCACCACACTTGGCTGATGTTTAGATTTTTTTGTAGAGACAAGGTCTCACTGTTACTCGGCTTATGTTGAACTCCTGAGCTCAAGTGATCTTCCTGCCTCATCCTAGCAAACATGCAAAAGTGCTACGATTGCTGTTGTGAGCCACCTCACCTGGAACAAATGTAAATTTTTTAACAAATAAAAGAATTGAGGTGCCTGGTCTGAGGGTAGTGGGTTATCAAAACTTATTAACATTAGTGTCACTAAGTTGGTATACAACCCCCCACTGCTAAATTTGACTGACTTAAAAAAAAAAAAGAATTGAGGTAATTAGGCCAGGTTCGGTGGCTCAGGCCTGTAATCCCAGCACTTTGGGAAGCGGAGGTGGATGGATCATGAGGTCAGGAGATCAGGACCATCCTGGCAAACATGGTGAAACCCCGTCTCTACTAAAAATACAAAAAAAAA